GTTGCCGGGGAAAGTCTACGCTTTTTGGGGGGTGTCGGGTTTAAAGGCATCACAGCCGAGGATTCGATGTTCAGGGTTTACACGGGTTTTGGTCAGCACGAGCGCAAGCCGTGTGCCGCAGCGAATGGTGAAAATCGGTGAAAATCGTCCATGTGTGTTGAACCTGTTGAACCTGAACCCAGAGCCGCACTGCAGAATCCCTGTGTGAAATCTGCAGTCTCGACTCTCGGGTCCTCGGCTGAGGTTGGTGGGGCGAGCGTGGGCTTAGGAGTTGAGGATGTGGGTCGGCGCCTAGGGGCGCACACCCTTCAAAGAGACCAAGATGATTGGATGCCGCATGCCGGGCAGGGTGATTGCTGCCGGCACCGGCACCTTCAAGAAGGCTCAAACGAGCAGCAGCGTTTATTCGTTGCATAGCCGGCGGCATGTCTGAGTTCGCAGTGCCGCTGCACATTTCGCACTATCATGTCTAGAGTTCAGAACTGGCGGACGGAACGTCCCGACCCGAACGTTTCACCTTAACAACATCCTGATTCACGCGGCTTCCGATTACATACAAAATTCACCAGTTGTCCTCTATGACAACCCTAAACCCTAAACCCTATGCGCAAACAAACGCGGGTGCTCAAGTGACAAAGCTGTCGGCGGTCAGCCGGGGCGATGGCAGGAACGCCCGAGGCACCGCAGCTGCAACGCGACGAAACATGTGTTTCCGAAAATAGGGGTATCCTTTTTTGGGGGTCCTATAAAAGGATTATCTAGCATTTGGGGGGGGGGGGGGGGATATATAGGTAAGGGGTTACAGTATCTTGGGGGTGTAGAAGGGGTCCCCCCGGGCCCCCTACTTTCGGAAGTGCCCATGTCTGCTGAGAATTAAAATGAACCACGCCAAAAAAACGTCCTCGAGCACGGCAGCCACGCTGTCGTGCACGACATTAGCAGACCCTATCCTTGAATCATTACACCCCCCGGTTTGCACAAGATCATCGGAATAATCGGTGGTCGTTCTCTGAAGCGCTCGGAAAATCGGCTCAGTCCATGTCTGAATCTTCCTGCGATGCACGGGAGGTTGGGGGCATCGAGCTGGAACCTCGGGTTTGATAGGCTTATATGTACACAGTTTGCTAGCAACGCCTCTCATCAAAAACTTTGAACCCTAAACCTGAACCCAGAATCAGACCCTCATAGGTCTCGCGTTGCTGACTTCTGGATTGCAAAGAATTTTCATCGGGTCTAGTCTGACAGGTGCTTCAATTGGACATTGTAGCAGGAGTAGCCGGTGCGAGGAGTTTGTGTGCGACTTTTGTCGGTAAGCGGGTCTGTGTTTGGGGGTTTGGGTTGAGTGCTCTGCAGCGCATGGCGGCCTCCAGAGTAGGTACCAGGACCTCAGCCTTTCGTGCCAAGGGTTTGCTACAGTACGGGGCTTCTACACACCGCCACATCTCACGACGTTCATGGTCGCCAGAAAAATATGAGATGTGTCCTCAAAGCTGACGAGAACTCAAAGCCTGAAAGCTGAAACCTGAGACAACCAACAGCACGTCTCCTCTTCTGAAAGCTCCTCGGCGCCGCTGCCTGCGTCCTCGAAGTTCACCTGGCGATCTTACTTCTTGAGTCCTGCGGTTCTTCGGGGTTTATCAGACTTAAGGTTTGAATTCATTCGCAAACCCCTAATGTTGCAACTACCTGCTTTAGTGGGGGCCCCCCGAATAAAGTCAACTTGGCCGGGCTTTTCAGGACCGTGGGACTGTTGGGGGCTCAACTCCCGGGCCTCACTGTCCCATTTAAACTGATATAAAACATCCCTCGACCGTCTTAAGAGAGACTGTTCATGGAGGGTGGGGGGGGGGGGTGGAACACACTCAATCAGGTCCAACGTTTCTATTCCATGGCCCTGCAGGCCCTAAGCTCTATCTAGAGCCGAAAGCCTTGAACCCGGCAGGAAAATCGAAAGGAACTCGTATTTTTAATGGCTTCTTGGCTGCCGTGGTGAAACAAACCGGGGGCGCGTGGGCGCTTCTCTGCCATGTTTGCTCCCACGGCGCTCCATGTTTCGCCCACACAAACAAAAAATATGCGCTTCGATTATCCCTACCCTACACCTACCAGACGTCGGAGCCATCCTGTTGGTTTCGGACGGGGAATTGCGGACACTTCACCGCAGACTTCTGTCGCGGGTATCTCTGAGTTCTCTGGAGGCGGGCCCTCCCACCATGCTCGGTCTCTGCGAGCTTGTCTGTGGGGATTGGCATTCCAGGGAGGCTCGCCGGGACTCAATGCTTTTTCTGGCATTCCAGAGGCGAGGAGATTTGTAGACTTAATGCAAAAAACAAGGAAACACAATGATTTTCTGGGAGTCTTAGCATTTGAGCACTGTGATTGCAACGTTGCAGCCGAAAACGGTTGTGCTGTTTGTTTTTTCTTTGTGGTTTCTTGGTCCTGCGGAAACATTTTCCTTCTTTTTGCGCGCGTAAGAACCGCAAAACGAAGTTCCGGGGGCTTTTGCAAGTTGAACCAGCCGATCGGAGAGTCTCGGTCCTTCCGGCCTCCTCGCCCGGTCCCCTGGCCTGGTGCAGTGCCCACTTTCCGAGAGGAGAAGCCCACAGAGAGTCCACCCTGGAGAGCCCCAGCAAAGCCCACCGCCAGAAAAAGGGTCCCGCCGAGCAAACCTGGAGTGCCCACCCCCAGACAAGCTCGCAGCGAGTCCCACCGAGGGTCCCCGGATTAACGAAATGGATATACGAATAAGAACAGTAGAAATAGTGATAGTAATACTAATCGGAATATTAGAAAGAATGTTCATCATGAAACCAATAGTAACAACAACAACAACAACAACAACAACAACAACAACAACAACAACAACAACAACAACAACAACAACAACAACAACAACAACATTTTTTCATTTCATTTCGGACGCATGTGCGGGTCATGTCCCACACCTTAGCGGGCATCGAGGGTGAAAATTGAGTGACCTATTCGTTCGGGACCTGATCAGTCCGATGTCCTACCATCTTCAAGCTATGTGGGTTGCGCTTTTGTGCACGTCTCTGCGAGAGCGGTCTTCAACCTCAGCAGGCAGGCTGGCAGGCAGGCCTAGTCTGAGAACATCGGCCATGCAGGCTGGCACTTGTACTTAAAGAGGCATTGAGGCTTTTCTTCTGCAGCGCGAGCAATTGTCTGGAGACTGGATCGAATCCTTTGTCAGGACTAGTCAGGCGCTTAGGGATAGTGGTTCAGCTTGCTGGAGGCGACCTCACTCGCATACTGGGACCAGGCTGATGGTTCGATATGGGGAAGCCAGAATGGCTGCTTCTCTAGCCCGAAGAAGGGACTGGACCTGTTTGCGATGAAAAGAAGCAAGCATCTTGTAGACAATTGCATACGGCTTGTACTACTCATAGACGTCGTCGTACAATGGGTTGATGATTTGGTAGAAGCGAAGAGCCATGCTGTTCTGGAAGTCTTGAGAGTGATCCTCCGGGTTGGGAGGTCTAGCGCTGGCTTGGAATGCAGAGTTGACCTGCTTGAGCAAGGCTTCCTCAAAGAGCTCCAGGAGTTCGCCTCTCGAGATCACTGCTTCCGTAATCATGGATCGAACCCAGGCAATTTCTTCTGCATGGATTTCTCGAAGTAGCCACTTCCGATACGTGACTAGATCTTCTCGGATTTGGTCCTGGTAGTTCGGAAGATGAGGCAACAGAGCTAGGGGATGTTGATCGTAGGGCAGAGCGTTAAGGTGATGGTCTTGATGTTGAAAGCGCCATCCGTTCTTTACTGACGATGCCCTTTCTGAGGTTGAGGAAGACAATTTGAGAAGCTGCTGTACCCGGTATACTGTGGAGGCTCTTGAGCGCCTGTAAGTCGAAATAGTGAAGGTCCAGTTGCTTGTCATCGTGTAGATGAAGATTGGAGGGGAAGTAGTCCAAGCCTTGTCCCGGAGCGTGCGGTGGCTGTGACTGCTCAATGCCCGAGAGGAGGCGTGGCGTTGACGATCGCATCAGAAGGTGAAGATGTGACAAGGTGTTGGCTATCATAAAGTGCACCTCCCCCTGGCCAAAGTGGCGCGTCAAGTACGTCCAGATACGCTGGATGGTGGGTTCTGCATCTTCAAGCTGAAATGAGTTTTGGCCAGGACCATCGTTCGTGTAACAACAACAACAACAACAACAACAAGAACAACAACAAGAACAACAACAAGAACAACAACAAGAACACCAACAAGAACAACAACAAGAACAACAACAAGAACAAGAAGAAGAAGAAGAACAACAACAACAACAAGAAGAAGAAGAACAACAACAAGAAGAACAACAACAAGAACAACAACAACAACAACAACAACAACAACAACAACAACAACAACAACAACAACAACAACAACCAACAACAACAACCAACAACAACAACCAACAACAACAACCAACAACAACAACCAACAACAACAACCAACAACAACAACCAACAACAACAACCAACAACAACAACCAACAACAACAACCAACAACAACAACCAACAACAACAACAACAACAACAACAACAACAACAACAACAACAACAACAACAACAACAACAACAACAACAAAACAACAACAACAACAACAACAACAACAACAACAACAACAACAACAACAACAACAACAACAACAACAACAACAACAACAACAACAACAACAACATGTAACAACAATGAACAAGTAAAACAAGTAACAAATGCTACGAGTAGCAATGCTACGAACATAATGTAATGATAGCAATAGTCATCTTCGTCAAAGTACGACTTCTAAGAACACGAATAGCAAACCATAGTGCTAACAAGAATAGTTTAAGTAGTATTAAAGCAGCAACTGTGGTTAGCAATAAGAGCAGAGAATAATAAGCCCTAAGCATCCTACAACCTTAAGACCGGCCCAAGTACCGAAAGCTCACAGGGTCGGGCAGTGGCGCCAACTAGTGCATTCTAGGCTGAACCCCAAGGGCTAAAGCAACGCAAACTTCAAGCCCAAACCCGGACCCCAAGCCCCGAGTGCACGTTCCGGGGCACCTCTCCAGAGGGCTTCTCGTACGGCCCCACGCACCGAGTAAGCCACCAAAGCCTCTGAGGCGATCGTAGAGCTCAGACGGTTCTGAAGTTGTTGCCCTATACATTCCTGCACACGAAAAACCCTTAAGTCCCCCCCAAACGTATACCGAGGCTGGAAGCCTCGGGCTTTGAGCTTCAATGATGTCTTGCTGGCCCTCTACACTTATGCCGCCCTTGGCCAATGAGGCCTGCAGTATTCCAGGCTCCATCTGACGTCCTGAGGCGGGAACCCGTCTCTTCGAACCCTGGGGTGTGGGCTTTGGCTTTGAGTTTGAGCTTGTGAAATGCTGTCTACCAGGGCACAGCCGAGAAAAACACCTGAGAATTCCAGAGTCCCCTCACCAACTTTCAACCTGCACCCTAAAACCAAAACCTTAAGACGAGGCCTGTCCTGCTGCGTGAAGGTCCGCGGAAGCAGGGCGTGGAAGAGGGAAGATGCAGAGGACGCGCCGATGCGGTCGCTATCCACCTTAACTGCTTTCCTTGTGTTGTAGGTGGAGGATGGGGAAGTGCAGCTGGGTGCTTAGAGACCTAGGGGTTCGAGGACCAAGGTTAGAAGCCCTATCGGGCATTGAATGCCAACAAATAAGCTGGTGCGAATCGTTGCCAACTTCCTTGTCTGGCCTGAGCAAGCAAGATGTTGGGCGGCCTTGTCACCCGGAAAGTGCGGAATTTTCTCACGCAGAGAGAGGTGGCGCCGTAGATCATGAAGCTGTTCGACAACGCGTTGTCCCCAAAAGAGTTTTCCAATGCGCTGCACTCGAAACCCGAAACCCCCAACAAAAAATCAGAGCAACTCCGAAAAAGCTGCAGCCCCTAAGCCCCAAATCCCCGCCCAAATTGTTCAATTGGCAGCAATCGAGTGCATCGTGCTATGCGATTGAGGCAAACGTCCTCCGAAGGCGCAATCACCATGAGGCCCCAGGCTCAAACACCTCAAGTCATAAGTCACTTAGGCTTGAAGCCCCAGGCTGGAACCCTAAATCCCGAAAACAAAAAAAAACGCAAGAAAGCCAAAGTGGAGGCCCCAAAGCCGATCAGATTCCGAGGCACTAAGTGCCTCAAGCCTAAGACCGACAAACGGAAGTCACTCCTCGCTCACTTCTCTGAGCTCTGAGCGGACGTGCAAATCACGAACGGGATGCGCTGAATGGCCTTTGGGTTCAGCATCTGAGCCAGTCCAGGGTTCAGGGATTGGGATGCCATGCACTAGGTCACTAGGTTCAGGCTCTGACGCTACGCTTGGGAGTCAGGGTATATGGTTAAAGGGCTTTGGGGCCTGGGTGGGAGGTTTTACAGAGGTCTGGGCGAAAGAAAGTTGGTCGTGCTGTCAAGGTCACAACGGGTGTTCGGCTGAATTTGGGGATTCTTTAGGGGCTTCAAACGGGCTATGACACAATGGAAAAAAACGCATGCCCCCAAAATCAAAAAATCAAAACTAAGGCCTGAGTTTAACCTTGACATGCATTGCACGAGGCACGGCCGATTCAAGGTACCTGTAGTCTACAAGGCGCGACGGGTTTCTCGTTGTGGCGGCATGAATCTACATAACGAGGCTTGACCGCACAAGCTGGCAAAACCAAGGAGGAAGCCAAGAGCCTGCGAGCCCCTTCCCAGCGAATTTATTGTCTCTCCGTCTCTTCGTCTCCAAGGCACTTGTGCAGCCTTCTCCGCCTTCATGCACACGCATGGTGAGACACAGGCAAGCTCAAACGATGTGTGAGAGACATGATCTAGGGCTCATAGGGCTTACCGGGCACATGGAACGGTGCGCTTTTGTGCAGTCGAAGATCTCTAACCCTGGAAGCCAAGAAGCCGCCTGTAAGCCCCAAGTCCCAAACCCATTTCTGAACCCAGAAGCAGAGCCCTGAGCTTCTCAGCTTCTCACACCCATAGATCCCACAGCTCCAGACTCTGAAACTAAAGCTCGGTACAGAGCAAAGACAATGATGAATCAAGGCGGTTTCGGGTCTACAAGCCCCAAGCCCTAAGCCAACAAACCCTAAACTCTTTGGGGCTTGCGGGGTATTTGTTGGCTGGTGTCGGGGCAGCACGCTGTCCTCCACCCAGTCTGCAACACTCTGCGCCCAGGCCTTTGGAATTCAGGCCACCAAGCTTCAGAAATCTTTTGCTCCGGGGCCGGTTCGTGTTGTTTTGATTTTAACTCACTGTAGTCTTCGCCCAAGCATCCTACTCCACCCACAGAAATACCGCAAGTATTATCTTTGGCATGCCCACCCTCGCAGACTCTCGCAGAGAATCCCGCGCAGTACCCTGGAGCGCCTTCACTCCGAAAATCCCGCAGAGTATCTGTGGAGCCCCCCCAGTGCCCAACCGCCACTCCTGAGAAGGGAATACTAAACTAGTATCCCCGGAGTGCCCGTCCCAGCTTCAGACGGCCAGGTCTCGTTCGAGATTGCTATAGCTCAAACAAGCTACTCCGGTATAATACGGGCTTCCGACATGCAGAGAGGCAATCAAAGACGTACTACAACAGGCTTCAGATGTTCACCAGGAAGGCAAGGGCCGGTGGGCCCTGCTGTTGGCACATGCGTGCAGCGGGTCTGTTGGTGTGGGGCGATGGATGTTTTGGCGTGTGCCGGTGGGCGCGAGCTGTCGCAGCGTGGGTAGGACTGGGGGTGGGGATGTGTGCGTGCGGGGTGTGGTTGGGTGCGGCTTGGTGTCTGACCATGGAATGCGCACAGAATTGAGGCAGGAGCACAAGCAGAACAGAATCAGCACATTGGATAACTTATCAGGTGTTTGCACCGCGGGTCCAAAGGAAGGTGTGCGAGCGAGAGCGCGATTCTTATCGAAGCCCTGTCCCTCGATCGTTGGCACCCCATTTTCGGCCGTCCATGTTCGCATGGCACCCCCAAACTTTACGGAGCACGTTGATCGGCGTGAGGGTGATTAGAAGGTATTCGTTGAAACAGGACTGGAGGCACCAACTCTGCAACGGGGGACTGTTCATGGGGCCTATATAGGGCGCATGAGAACGTGAGATCCTACCCTGAAAGCCCTGATGATCAAGTTACTGAATCCGAAGCGCACATCCCCCCTCAATCCTGAACCGTGAAGTCCGCTGTCCACTGCGAATAATCCTGACCCTGGCCCCCTGCAACACACAACTGCTGGCCAGGGGCTGCTTTGAGAACCCTTGTAATCGACTGGGCCAGCTTCCCAGCCCCCACCCTCCCACCTCCCACCTCCCACCCCCCCCCCACCCCCTACTGCAACCTTTTGGGGTGAACAGGGTAAACTCAAGCGGCCCTCCCTGAGCCCCGAAAAAAAAACTGGGCGGAGGGGAGGCGTTTGTTTTGCCGGGTTCAGCAGGCCCGGGGCGTGAAGGCTAGCGGGGTGTGAAGGCTGGCGCGGTTTAGGGTTTAGGGTTTAGGGTTTAGGGTTTAGGGTTTAGGGTTTAGGGTTTAGGGTTTTAGGGTTTAGGGTTTAGGGTTTAGGGTTTAGGGTTTAGTTTAGGGCCTAGGGTGGGTTCTGCCCATAAGCGCTGCAGCCCAACTTCTAGAAAACTTGTCTTTTGAGGTTCGTCTGAAAGTGAAGACATCTCGGTATTGTTTTACGAACTTCCAGAAGGTTCCATGGCATCTCCCACACCCTTTGTGGTTGTGGTCTTTCGTGTGCCCGAGGGATGCCTTGTCCGCCCTGTCACAACGTTCAGAATCTACAGGCCCCTAAGGGGCCCCTCTACTTGGCCTCTCCCCCCCTTGTCATTGCGATGTTTTTGGGTCTTGGGCTAGACGGTTTAGAGTTTGCCAGCCCAGCCCTTCCCTTTTCAGCTTTGGCTGCCACTTCTTTAGGGCTTTGGGGCTTTCAAATTTCACTTCTCACGCCCACCTCTTTAGGGCTCAAGGCGGAGGAATCCGGGACGAGCAGAAACAAACGACTGCAGCACCAGGCGGCAGCCACCACCCCGCTAAGCCTACACCAGTTTTTCAAAGGCAACCCACACCATGATTACTTGTCGGGAGTCCTTACTAGTGATTAAGGGGGGGTACTATAATCTAAACCCTAAACCCTAAAACCCTAAACCCTAAACCCTGTGGGGGGGGGGGGGGGGGGAACATCCCAAATGATTACCCCAACTCCCACCAATCGGCCTCCTGTCCGAGGAGGATGATCACCGGGCGACTCTGGTCCCCCGCCTCACTGGCTGGTAGACTGGGAGTTTGGGGGTTCAAGGTTTAGGGTTTAGGGTTTAGGGTTTAGGGGTTAGGGCTTAACCTTGAGCAATACTGGGGGGTTTAAGGGTTTGGCCCATAGGCGCGACGTTCCAAATCGGCTCTTGGATTTTGATCGATGGCGGGTGGTTGGTTTAAAAGGGTGGGATGCAAGAACCCTCTTTCGCCTTCAATCTGCCTCTAGACCTGTCAAGTTCGGGGCTTGTCACTTCAATTGGGCTCTTGTGTTGCCCGAGCAGGGGAATGGCTGAGCCGAATCCACTTGCGGACCCTCTGGAGCTTCTCGTCCCTGCGCGGACACCGCTAGTCCATGCTCTCCGTTGACAAAAAGCCTCAGCAAAAACAAAAGCCACAAAACTGAAAACTGAAACCATCTAAGCCCCAAAGCCTTTAAGCTAAACCACAGAAAGCTCTTCGCCGGTCAGCCCAACACCTTGAAAGGAGCGGCGGCTGCCTTCGAAACCAAAGCAACTTTCCCTCTCGAGGTCCCCTAGACTCCCAACACTTTCAATGGACCTAATCGCGCCTGCAGCTCAACAAGCTGCTGCATCAACTCCTCCTGAAGGTCACTTTGGTTGCATTGAAGGACTTAAGGGTTTCAGAAGCTGCGGATTGACGGCACTACATACTCTCACAACTTCGTCCTTGTGGGGGTACATGTGTGTTCCCTTAGGTTCCTGCCTGTGGCTTGGGCCTTCAGCAAAAACGCCCAACGTGGCAGATGTGCTTCTTCGTGCTTTTGTTGCGGCATACGCTGGGGGTTTGGGCTTCCGGGCTGAAACTCAGGGTCGCTAGCTATTGCTGTTTTTCGTCTCGCCCGCAGCCGGATTGCCAAGCTTACACATCCCGCCTCAGCCTCCACTTCGATGATGGCATCCTGGCTCACGCCCGCCTGCGCGCAAAAGAAGGGAGGGCCCCATGGGTTCGCAGGGGCTGAACAAGTGAAATCGGTGTGTGGAAGGGCGGAAGGCAAAGCGGACGGATAATCTCCAGGGCGTTCTGGTACTAGTCCGAAAGCAGGGTACAGTCAGAAACCCGTTTCGCGTAAACGAATGACAAAACAACATGCTGACGAGACCTTCTTCATGGTTGCCATGACCTAGGGGCGAAAAGGCACCAACGGAGAACAAACAGCATCACGCCCACGCCCTCGTGCGCTGAGACGCCACCCAATCTGCTACACGAGGCGGCTCCATAAGACAACAAACCGATGGCCCACAGCAGCGGTGGATCGCCGAACGACGGAAGCAGCTACGGCTTCTTGGGCAGCGCGTTTCGCGCACTCCAAGAGGGGCCCTATACAGTCCCAAGCCTGGCCCTTGTTCTGACAAAAAGTTGACACGAAAGCCCGGCAGAGATTGGATTGCATGTCCAGAGGCCCAAACCTGGCCCTATAGTCCCAACGTAAGAAAAAGGTAAGTCTTTGGCAAACCGGCTGAAGCCCGCCTGCTGCTCTGCTTCGTTGAGAACGACTCTAGAGAGCCGAAGAACACTTTCTACGACAAGATGAGAAAACACAAAGGGGGCTTCTGAAAGCTGCGGGTTCTCGCGCCGCCTGGATGAATGCCATTTGAGAGGCCATACGGCAGACAGGCCTTCAGCAGCGGACGCTTAAGGTCTTGGAGGTTCTGAGGTGCTTGAGTCGGGCTTAGTAGCTTAGACGTCTGTAGGGTCGCGACCCAAAAATCACACTCACAGTTTTGGGGCTCAAGCTTCAGAAAAAGACGGGCTGAAGGATCTCAGGGGTTCGTAAGTTGATGGTTCAGGGTTCAACCATTCAACCGTAAACCCGGAACCTGAAATCTGGGGCATGCACGGTCGGAGCCTGAATGCAAACACGTGTCACGCACACGGCGAACGAAAGAGACGCGGTGCACGACACGAGATCCGAAGTGAAGCATCTTATGCTCTCTCTCTCTCTCTTGCTATGTCTTTTTCTCTCGCGCTCACTCTCTCTCGCTCTCTCTCGCTCTCGCTCTCCCTCATCTCTCTTCTGTCTCTCTTTTCCCCAGCCGCGCAAACCCCTGGACCACTGGAGCCCCAACTCTTAAAGCAGGAACCCTTCTGCTGCGCATTCGGTAAAAGCCACACATAGCCTGACAGAGGAAGTGTGAGCCCTGAACCCCGACTTCCTCTCACCTCAAAGCAAACCAAAACCCCATCATCCTGGTGCCGACAAGTCTGCTCTTCGTCGGCAGCTATCACGTCCTCAGCTGGGCCCGACAGACCCAGCAGAGTAACCAGAGTTTGGATTCAGGGTTAAGGGCTTCGAAGCGAGGGGGCCTGAACCCAAACACCCCGTAAACTGCTGTGGAGGCCTCCACAGCGGTGTGTGAGGCTGGCTTAAAGCACAAATCCAGGCTTGCATAAGCCCGATGTTTGGGGTTTGGTGTTGCCAAATGCTCAACCTCCCAGTAGCTTACAGAAAGGGCAGCCCAAACTTTGCGTGAAGATATTCTGCCGCAGGTTCATCAGGAATCTTCGAACTCCGCTACAACTGCAACTCCTCAAAGGACTCCTGAACCCTAAAACCCTAAACCCCATAAGACCTGAAGTCGAAAAGCCCCAGCCCCAGGATCGGCGGTTTGGGTATGATTAGTTCGGTATTGAGCTTGGGATGTTCCCCCTTGTACTAACAGTCCTTGATGGGGATTACAGTAACCCTTACTATACCCTAGTAAGCACTGTTCGTACAAGGGGGAACATCCCAACATTGAGCCTTTTAGCAGTCAACAATGCCACTTCCGAAGTTCGTAGTTCGAAATCCCCCTACGCCCCATGATCGCTAGACGCCGTCCCGAAGTCCTAAAGATCCTGCTCCCCACCAACAAGGAAATCAATTCCCGGAACGCCCTCACATTTTCCACCCGCGACCCCTAGACCCTAAACCCTACACCCTAAGCCCTGAACCCTAAACCAACTGATCCCGCCAGGATGCAAGTTGGTCTGCCTGGAAGCTTTTCCAGGCTGGCAACTCCCGACTGCAACCTGCGCAGTGGGGTTTATAGGGGTTAGGGCTTAGGATCTGAGAGTCTGGGTCGAACCCTAAACCCTAAACCCTGAACCCTGAACCCTAAACCCTGAACCCTAAACCCTTAGACAGGGGGCTACATTCTCTAGGGCTGCTGGAGCTTCCAGGGTTTCTCGGAGTCTCCCGGTCCTTTTGACGGCTTGAAGGTGAGATGCCGCATGTGCGTCTTTGCATTCTCCAAGCGAGTATAATAAGAAGAAGACGAAGAAGAATACTAGCAATCATAAGGAAACACAAAATAATAACAACAACAATCATCATCATCATCATGATAGTATTTAATACTAATCATAATCATAACAAAATAAAACAAGCACTGCAACCTGATCGGAAACCAACCGGACATTTCGCAAAGGGGGCTTTCGTACAACGAGCTGGTTGGGAGATCTCTGTTCCAGGATTTCCACATTGGCCTAAGCCCTGAACCCAGAACCCTGCCTCCCCCCCCCCCCCCCCCCCCCCCCCCAAAAAAAAAGAGAAATGGCCTAACGTCCACCACTTCCTGAGGAGATCAAAGGCATCCTCAATGAACTGTGCCTCAACGTGCAGTGGAGGATCGGGCCGATCGAGTAATGGAGACTGGAACAGAACTTGAACTGCACCTCCTTTGTCGCAAACTAACAGCACACCCCCAAAGCATTGGCGACCGTCTTATTTTGTAAGGTATAGGGGTTGCTGGTATTGGTGTATAAGGTTGGGAAGGGGAAGTTGTGCGAAGAACCGAAAAACCAAGTTGCTTCTTCAGAGAGTGCCCAGCTGCTTGTCAGTCACAAATGGAGAGTTTGCCTCTTCTGACCAAAGACCTTCATAGCGTGCCTGAAGCCACTCAGAATTACAAATCCTCGTATACTTCTTGCTATGTCTGAGGCGACTTGTCTTCATCCTCAGATCAAAAGAGCAAGCTGGCGGATGCGAGAAGTGCCGGGCACATCATTTTGATAAATCCAGGCCCCTCCCCCTCCAAAAAAGAAGGAAAACGGTAAGTAGACATTTCTAGTCGGATGCTTTGACCTGGCTGACGAGACATACACAAACACGTGGGTTTACGAATATACCCAGAACAAAGTCAGAGCAAGAGCAAGGCATAGCTCAAGCCGCCGAAAAAAAACGAGGTCCCAAAAGATCAATATTCAGATGAACGACACCATACAACACCTCCATAAGAAGTCTGCACACTGACAGCTTTCACTTCTGACGGGTTAGGGTCTATGGCTTGCGGCGTTGAAGTCTCCTTGCAAATGCTGTCACGAAAATACAAGTACGGCAGTCGAACTGACAATCTTCAACCGCCCTGAAAGAAACATAAAGCAACATCAATATCAGACCCTTCGCCATGACAAGAGCCGCAAACCCTCCTCTTCTCTGCTGCACCTGCTGAGGAAACTGAGCCCCGGCACATTGATGGGCTTGGGTAGCACCTCAAGTGCCCACACAGCTCGGATCCATACTCAAAAACTGGCAATAGGGCAATGCTTCCCTCCTAGAAGTAGGCATATCCTACCCAGGGTTTGTCCTGGGCTGGTGGACAAACACTCGAGTCGCAAGGCTTGAGGTGTGGCCTAAACCCTACACCCTAAACCCTAAACCCTAAACCCTGAACCCTGAACCCCAAGCTTTGGGGTTTGGGGTGAAGGCAATCGGCTCTCTCGGCAAACTGGGGACATTGCAGCCTGAGACTTGCTACTCTATGTCCTTAGCCCATACCCTAAACCACGTGATGAAGAAAGGCTTGAGGTTCTGCGGTTCGGCTTTACGTTCCGGGTTTGGGTGTGAGAAAGTTTTTGGTGCCCAGATTTGGACGGCTTGAACAGGAACATGCGACACATTGGCTGGGAAGGGCCAGGCTGCAGCTGCCAGCAGCTTGGGGCGCATGTTACCATCGGGGTACAGGGCTTAAGTCGGAAAACGGCCTCAGCAGAAATAAAGCAACGCAAGAAGGAGCTCAAGCCTGTGTAGAGTCAAGAGCGGGATAGTTGCGGCGACGTGTTCTCTATGGTTGTGTTGATGGCAAGCTTGCCCCTGCAACTAGAACGCAGCGTACCGTTTGACAGCTTTTGTTGCCCAACAGCTCCCGCAAGTGAAGGCGCAGACGCGATAACATTGACCACGACTCTACAGACAACCCCCAAAACAGGCAAGCCCATGAAAAGCAATTTTCTATTGCTTTACGGGCAGAACGACGCGTTGCCCGCTGTCCCCTTGTCCCCTCTGGGCAGCTTTGATTGCTCTGGAGGGGGCTGAGGGCTTAGGAGGACTCAGGCATCCCAGAGCCTAAACCCTTAGATCCTTGCATAAGCCCATAAGCCCCCATCCATTGCTCAGGCACAATCTGAAAGTTGCCACCTCCCTCGTCCACCTGCACCTGGCGCGCGAAGTTTCCGTGGCGATTGGGTTCCTTGCTAGGATGGCCCTTACAAACCCTCTTAAAAATATTCCTGACTATGATCCTCGTAAACCCAATAAAGGAAATCCATAAAATGTCCCAAGGGACTACCTAGCTTGCCTAGGTCCCGAAGACTAAGATTGGGGATCAGGTGCTGTGCTGCGACCACCTTGGGCTTCAGGATGCACAAAAGCAATACCTCCTGCGAAGCGAAGCTCTGCGTTCGCCTACGAACCCTAACACCCAAAGACGCACGCGCCTGTCTAGCAATGGAGGAGATGCACACAACGTAGGGCTCTCGCCGTAGAAGCTTCCTTGGACAAGGAGCTTGAGGCTTTCCTATTCCTCAAAAGTCAGGCCAGGGTTTAGGCAGGGTTTGGGGGCCTTGAGGGTCAACGAAAAGCTTCTCCAACCATATCCAGACCCATCCGAGGCACTTTTTGACGAGCTCCTGGATTTGAAGCGCGCATTCTCTGCCGTCCATTCCCGGCATCCGCACATCCAGCAAAACCAAGAGCGGCTTGGTGATGTGCCCCTGACAGCAAGAGCAAGGCACACAAAAGCGAAGTGCTCAAGACCCCGAAGCCCTTGCACTCTGAACTCCTCTAAGCTCCGACCCTCTCTGAGGTTTAGGGGTAATCATAAGTAGAAGTTGCAGACACTGTAGTTTGGGGTTGTGGAGGCTGCCTTGCTTATAAAGAACCTAACGCACAACGCCCTGAAAGCAGACTCGTCGGCCGCCTCGTTCTGCAACCTGGCAAGGTGATCCAAAGCTCCGAGGCCGTTCTCTGCCTGCTTGGGACTTCTGAGGTGGGCCGATAGGGGTTTAGGGTTTAGGGTTTAGGGTTTAGGGTTTAGGGTTAGGGGGTTTAGGGGTTTAGGGCTTAGGGTCCTATATAGGGGCTTGAGGTGGGAGTTTTTCGCGTTCAGGGATTTAGGATGGAAGCGTCTAGAGTTTTGAATCTACAGGGGCGCGGTGGGGGATTTGGAGTATGTACTACATAGAAATAGTTTTGGCATTTCCGAAGAGGGAGATCTCCAATCCCGCTGGGTTTACGACATTGGCTGCTCCTGTTCATGCTCAAAGGAACAGCCTTTTTCCAGTTCAGGTCGAAGGCAGGTCGCAGGATGCAAGCTCTTTGGACTTGGGGCCCAACAGTACTTGAAACGGATCCCCGTAGAAACAGTGAAGTTATAGGATACTTGTGAAAACAGACGCGTCAACAAGCAAAAGTGACATTGAAATGCTTCTGCCTCACAGTGTTAGTGTCTCGACAACTTGAATGACACCTGCTTGGTGCTTGGTGGCACGCGAATGTTGAGGATACGGGCTCGAGCAAGTGCAGATGAATGGCTATGTGCAAGGACGGGTGTTGAGCGTGCTTACGCCGAAAGCTGACGGCTTTCAGCTCCCGAACCCCAATCTCAACCACAGTGCGCGCATGGTATGGTAAGGGCTTGGGGGTCAGGCAGAGTGCTTGACATGATGGCAGGCATAGCGGTACTGGAAGATGACATGAAAGAGAGTGTTTCTTGGGGGAGGGGGGCTCACGGACGACATCGTAGCTTATCAGCTTAACACGAACACAGTCCATGCGCCATGTTCTCGATGGTCATGAAAGCTTGCGACAGCATGTGTGGTTCTAGAATGTCCCACATTCTAGTGCAGCATGTTCTGCAGAAAGGCTTTCGAAGGTGTAAATATCAGTGATATCAGCCAAAGGTATGAACGCTTGTGACAGCGTGTCTTGTTCCAGAAACGTCAGACATCCTTTCGCCGTACGTTGCGCAAAGAAGCAAACAACTGCAAGCACCACTGCTTTGGGTATGTTCGCCAAAGGCATGAAGGGTTGTGACAGGGTCTTATTCCACATACTCCACATACATGCAGAACACTCTAAGAGAACTCTAACAAGAAGCCATAGAAGCCATAGAAGCCGAAAGTCACCATCCCCAGCCTCTCGGATGTTTTGCCTCCAGGGGTGGCGGCATGGATGTGTCTCGTAGGGCTTCAAGGGCTGCAGGGTGTAACGCCAGAACCAACAAGGAACTTTAGCCCACACATCTGCGGGCCGTGCTTGCAACATCCTCTCAAACCTGGAACCGACTTGGGCACACACAGGCAGCGCTGGCTTTAAAAGGGCCCGCGTCCACCAGGAGAGAGAGCCCGCCCCTAAACCCTGAACCTTGAACCTTAGAGCCAAGCAGCCAGAAAGTCTGCCCTGCTTGAGCTCAAGGCTCACCCGCTAGCACATCGCAAGGCCTGACCCAAAATCAAACCCAGGCCGGAAAAAACAAAGGCTTAAACCGGTTGATGCCCAAACCCTGAAACCTCCGGAGCTACGACGAAAGACCCTAAACCCTAAGCCCTAAGCCCTAAACCCTGAACCTTAAGCCCTAAACCCTAAACCCTAAACCCTAAACCCTAAACCCTAAACCCTAAACCCTAAACCCTAAAGGGCCGTAAGGACCGGCCTGAGGAAGCCGACCTTCAGCAGCTCACGCACGGCAGTTTCCCGGAACACCTCCTCGTCCTCTGCATAAATGACATCCGTCGTGTCCTGAACAAGGGTTTAGGGTTTAGGGTTTAGGGCTTAGGGTTTAGGGTTTAGGGTTTAGGGTATTTTCATTGTGGCTTTAGGGCTTTAATGGGCTTAGGTTGGGATGTTCCCCCTTATACTAACAGTCCTTAGTGGTCCTAGTACCCTCTGTTAAAATCCCTCTTGAGGACTGCCGGGAGAAGGGGGAACATCCTAGGGTTTAGGCTTTCATGAAGTGTCGCTTCGGGTTTACAGGGCTTTCAATTTATAGGGATCAGGGTCCGGGTGTTGAGGCCTGGGGGATTCAACGAGTCGCTTTCGGGTTGGAGGCTTGAGGTAGGGCTCAGGCTTACGACTAAGAATGCTCCTTTGGTCAGCGAATACAGAAAAGGTTCCTGGTGCTTACAGTTGGAGAAGAATTCGAGTTTGGGGTCCAGGCCTCGGCCTGTGCCACCTCTCTAAAATGCGACGGCCGTCTAAGACCCCCGAAAACTACCAATTTCCACCTCGCCCCAGATTCGGAAGCATGGGGTTTCAGGTTTGTGGCTCTGGGTTCGGGGACTCTGGAATCCTGAACCTTTCTTTGCGGGCGGGAGTCGGGCGCGATATCAAAGTCCCGCGCAGGCGCGGGGGTCCGAGTAGACACTTCCGCCACCGCGCGCATGGGAGAGGGCTCCCTGCAATGCTTTGGCGCGATGCCCCAAAACCTACATCCGAATATGACCCTCTCAGCACACATTCTATGGGGTCAGCGCTGCATGACTCTTGGTGAGCGTCCTATCTCAGGCCTTCCCTGAGGGCTCGAGATTCGAGAGGAAGGTTTAGGAACTTCGGTTACAACAGAGCTTACAGGGTTTCAGGCTGCAGCGGATGCGTCTATTTTCATCTGGCTCCCCAACGCGCTTGGCGGCATCATACGCAAAAACGGAATCGGATCAGACTAAGTACTGGTACTTGTACTACCACTGGTACCACTGGTACCACTAGTACCACTAGTACCACTAGTACCACTAGTGGTACCACGAGTACCACATAGATAGATAGACAGATAGATATGTATGTAGATATGTACTTTGAGAGGTTCTAGAGCCAAAGCGCTTATAAACCTAACCTCCTCAAACACCCTCAAATCCCAAACGTCCATGTCTATCTTGGGCCGCCAACTGACATCACGAAGCCCAGAAGAGCTACAGGGACCTCTAGGGATCAAGTTGGGTGTTCATCGTGCGGTTCCGGTCTTCAGGGCACAAAGCAAGGCGAAAGGCCCAAAAAGAAGCCCGATACGAAAGGACATCGCAATCATTAGAATGAATCGCGAAATGGGCTCTTAAGACCTCCCTAAACCGTTTTACCCGCAAGGTCCCCAACCCCTAAACCCTAGCCCCTACACCCTAAATCCTAAACCCTAAACCCTAAACCTACACCGTGACCTCAAGATCCCTGATAGCCGAAGGGAGCCTCTCCCTCGGCTGCGGCACATCAGATAGGAGGCCCGCGGATGCAAACTCCATATGCATCCTGGGTTTAGGGTTTAGGGTTTAGGGTTTAGGGTTTAGGGTTTCGGGGGTCTTTCTCGCGTGGTTTTGGGGCCGTTTCTGGTCTGCAGCTGTTGGGGGCTTCGAGGTTCGAGACGATTTAAAAGGATTTTAGGAGTTAGGACTGAATGGCTTTGGGTTTAGGGATTGGGATGAACAGTTCCGGTCGTTAGAGGCTTGTGGCCTCCGTCTGACCCAAGCCGACAAGCTCAGGCTCGAAGGGTTCCGGGCTTCGGGATCCCCATCGGATACATCGCCTCACTCCATCTTCACTCTGGTTCACGCTTTACAAAGTCGAGGCAGGGCCCTCTTTCAGGGCTTGGCCCATACTTCTAGGCTCAGACCTTTCCCAAGGATGGGTGGAGAAGCTTCAGCAAGATATTCAAAGAAAGCTTCCTCAAGTTGTTGAGCGGGCTACCTTGAATGGACGAGTTTAGTCCATAAGAGGAGAGGGCCCTGTGCCGAGTGAAGTGCCGAGCCAACAGTTGTTGCCGAGAAGTCAGATACCTAGTGCAGTACAACATGCTTTCCATCAGTGCATGAAACACGATCCTACTGAGCGGATGCTGGATTGTAAGCTGGAGAACCTGCGACCAAGGAATGGATCAAGGACGTGGTAAAGGCAATCTTGAACCCCAAAAGTGCCAGATCGATAGTCGGTGTTCCGGCCTAATGGCAGGAACTTAACACTTGACGATCCAAAGTCGAATACAAACATTGCAAGGCCCGGGCCCTAAAGGTCCCCGAGTCAAACCTTCCTTAAGCCTGGAGCCCCGCCTTCCTTGTCCCAAGCTGCACGGAGGCAGGGTATGAGCCAAAGAAGGAGCTTCGGTGGCAACAGCGGTACCAAAGCTTTAGAGGCCATGTTCGTTGCAGCGAGCCAGTTGGGCACGAAAGTCGTGAGGCTTTGGAGCCTGTGGGTCTGATTGGACTGCACCATCGTAGTCGCCGTTGTTCTGGAAACGTCGGGGTTTGGGATCTGGGACGCTTGCCGCGTTTTTCCCTGTGCCCATCAACCCAGCAGTAACACATCACGCCTAACACACACCTTTTTGAAGCCTGAGACCCTTGCCTCCCCAAGTCAAGCACTTCCGTGTTTAAGAAGAGATTACATACGGTGTACCTACACAATCTGCAAGGTCAAGCCCTAAACCGTCTCGTTTAGAGCTGCAGGAACTGAAGACACCGCTTCTTGCACATAGCTCTTGCCACTAACGGGTCTGGGCTCCAGTTGCTTGACATGCTCATCCCTACTTTATACCCGACGAGGCGCCGTTTTCGGATTCGTGCGGGTGCCAGTGGTGTGTGCCCTGCAGTGCTTTCTCCGATCAGCCCGGAAGCTAGCAGCTAGCAGAAACAACAACCCCTTCGTAACCCCGGTTGTGAGCCACAATCCGCAGGATGGGATTGCGAAGCGTGTATAAGTTGGGTCTCTCTGTTTGCGAAACACCCTCCCAAACACATAGCAGTTCGGTAAGAAATACCTGTAAGGTTCGATGTTGGCCTAGAAAGGACCCACTCCCAAAAAACAATGGATCCGAAGAAAGCACGGGATGGTTCTGATAGGCTCTACAGTCCCCAGTGCCAGGACGACTCCTACATGAAACTCATGAAGCATGGTGTTGCGAGAGGCGATGTCGACTTTGCAACAATGCGCCTTGAATCAAATGTCGGTTCTTGGAGGCCTTCCTTCGTACGAAACTTGCTCAGACTTTCACAGTGCCCCAAAACCTGTTGAACCCTAAACTGCTCGAGCGAGCAGACTTCAGGACCTATAGGGCCCAAAATTAAACAGGATGGCGTCGCAGTGGCAGGTCTCTCCCAAATCCTAGACAGCCTACAGCCTTCCAGCCTCCTCTTTTTCAGACCTGTAGACTACGTGGTGTTAGCAATGGGCGCAGGTTTACACGCTGAAAGCCTCCAAGAGCATTGTGAGACTGCGTACTCGGGTACGTTTCGCTCCCGCCCAGATGTCGCAACTCAAGCAATGCAAAGTCACAAAAACCCAGCTGAATCCGTAGTGTCGCCGAACCTCCGTAACCTTACAGCCTGGAACCGCCCAGACTTTCCACCCCGAAGGTCTTGCCGTGCCTGCGTTTTATAGGGCTGCTTCATCATACGTTCTGTGAGGATTGAGGTTTAGGGTCTTAGAAGAGTCAAGGAGCACCCGAAGCCTATGTAAACAGGAACAACCCTCCTCTTCTCTCTCTGCCGGCTCACGCTCCAGGCGCTGAAGGGTCTGGACGGATGTAGGGCCCATGTACGAGGCCCTGGGCCACCCAAGAGGCTGGTTTCGGGTTTGCTGTCGGGTGGATGTAGGGTTTAGGGTTTAGGGCTTAGGGTTTAGGGCTCAGGGGTCGGGGGATACAAGCACCAGCGTTTTGTCCCGAAGTGCCTTGACATCCGCTTGAAAGGCTTGATTATTTTCGCTCATGTCACATGTCCGAGGGCTCAACCCTAGAACAACAGACCGGGTCAAGGGCGTGCGGCGAGCGCTGAAACCGTAGCGGATCCAAGCCCCCTCCCGCCCTCAACCCTTACCCTCTCGGCGAACTCCATGTCTTGGCGCTTCCATTCAGAACTTCTGGTTTTTAGTGAGAAAAAAAAGCCCGAGACGCGGAACCCGAAACCGAACAAAGTCGATGGTCTTCCCGGGCACAGGCTTGGCAATCCCAGTCCAAAGCCATGAACTTTACATACACAAGCCCTGGAACAACTCCACGTAGCTGCAACACGACAACAAAGCATGCAGCTTCCTCAACAAAACAATTAGGAAGGTCTTGTATGAGACTCTCCCGACCTCAGCTAGGCTCAGCACACGAATTCTGAAGGCCCCACCCTACTAGTATGCCGAACCGGAGTCCATTGCCGAGGCGCTGCAGCCTTCTTGCCACCCCGCATCATCATGGGCGAGTCGATGCATGTGTCGGACCTTCTTTTTAGGGATAAACCTGTGTTTCAGTTTGAGGGTTCTGAAATTTGCTTCTTGGACATATAAGGTCCCTTCAGGGTCAGGGGTTCCAATTTGAAGCTCTCCTCTGCAATGCCTTTATTCTAAGCTGAGCTCGCGGAATCTGATGCGTCAACGATCTTCGAACACGGTCCTCGAACACAGGCCAGGATTTTGGTCCCAAGCCCAAAACCACAGTTCCTAAAGACTGAACTCGAACCCCCTACCAGCCCAAGGTGCTCCATTTTCCGTGATGGGTGACGTGCTCACTCAGCAAGCTATATGACAGCCAACTAACAATGCCCAACGACATCGTCCAAGACCAATCTGCACTGCACCCAAACATATTTGTCAAAGTGCTGAAGCACAGTTAGCAGTTAGCACCATGGTCTCCCCATGCAAGTCAAGTGGCGACTGAATGGCCGTCTCGCAGCACATTGTCCTTGATTCGGGATGCTTTCGGTTCAGGGTATGCTTCAGAAGTACTAGATTCGATAGATGTTGATTCACTGATGTACTCCGATTTGAAAACTCTGCTTTGTGATCAAGAACACCAAATGAGGCACGGAGGCTACAGTCTGCTGAAACACTCCTCCCAAAGACTCAAGCCCTCAACCCAAAGGCCTACGTGGAGGTTCAGGGTACTTTAGGACCCAATTTTAAGTGTAGTTATAAATTTAAAGTGTAGTTATAACCCACTGATAGGCCCATAAGTACCCCAATAAGGTTAAAATTGGATTATAAGTACAGCTTAACTTGGGTTACTTGGTACCATGAACCTCCAAGACGACTTCGACCCTGGCTACAATGCTCAGGTGTGGGCGAGCTGAGACGGAAGGGCCTGAGCTTCAACAGGGGTTCAGCGAACGATTATCTCAAATGCTGATGAGTCTGAGCCCCCGGAGTTGTGACAGTTTTCTGAAATTCTTGAGCGGGATCACATCGTCATAATCCCACGCAACTGTGCTAAAGTTTCGGGTCATCCGAGAATGTAAACGCATCAGTTCTTTAAACTTAGCTCCTGAAATCTTCCGAGCCGACCCTCAGCAAAGCTGAAGCAATGACACTAGCTGGAGCCCATGCTCCCTGAGATGCCATGCAGCTGAGTCAAGGATTAAGCCCCGTAAAACAGCATACAACATGAGGTATAAGGGCCTAGCAACCCAACAGCCAGCCTCA